AAACAGATCAGCAGCAACATGAAACTGATCAGCAGCAACATGATATGGTTATTGAAATATTGTTATGATATGCACTCCTTTAAAGAATTCTAGCCTCACAGCAATTTGTCAAATAGTGAGAAACATTCAGAGTTGAATTGTCTCTTTAGACTGGATGAGGTAACAACAAACAGTGTTTTCTCTCTCTGCCTGTTAAACAAACAGGCATAGGCTCACCCTGGTCATAGACACACTCCATCAATCATCCTTCACCTGAGCACATCATTCCACTCACATCCTCCTGCTCCTCCTTCAGACACTGCTCAGTGTTCTCTCCTTTACCCCTTCTCCATTCTTCATAGAAAGCACAACAGCATCACTAATAATACTCATCTGTAATACTGTTTTATCCTAAATATACTGAACAAAGATACAGTATAAACAAAACACTTGAGTTTTTGCTCCCATTTTTCATGAGCTGAACTAAAAAAAAGAGACTTTCTTTGTAAACAACAGGCCTTTTTCTCAGATATTGTTCACTGATACTGTATGTGTAAATCTGTGTTAGTGAGCACTTCTCCTTTGCTTAGATAATCCATCCACCTCACAGGTGTGGCATAAAAAGATGCTGATTAGCCAGCATGATTATTGCACAGGCATGCCTTAGGCTGACCACAATAAAAGGTCACTCTAAAATCTGCAGTTTTCTCACATAGCACAGTGCCACAGATGTTGCAATTTTGAGGGAGTGTGAATGACAGAGATGCCGCCAGTGAATTGAATGTTAATTTCTCTATCGTAAGCCATCTCCAAAGGTGTTTCAGAGAACTTGGCTGTACATACAACTGGCTTACAACCGCAGACCATGTGTTACTATCCCACAAACGCATCCATGCATCTTCACCTCCAAGGCTGTCTGAGATCAGCCACCAGGACAGCTGCTGCAACAATTGGTTTGCATAAACAAAGAATTTCTGCACAAACTGTCAGAAACTGTATCAGGGAAGTTCATCTGCATGCTTGTCATCCTCATTGGGGTGTCCACCTGACTGCAGTTTATCATTGTAACTGACATGAGTGGGCAAATGCTCATATTTGATGGCATACAGCATGTTGGTGAGATGTTCTTTTTACAGATGAATCCCAGTTTTGACTGTACAGGACAGATGGTAGACCATGGTCTTGGTGAGCAGTTTACTGATGTCAACATTGTGAATCAAGTGGCCCATGGTGGCGGTGGGGTTATGGTATGGGCAGGCATATGTAATGGACAACCAACACAAGTGTATTTTATTCATGGCATTTTGAATGCACAGAGAGGCTCACTGTAGTGCCATTCATCCATGACCATCATCTACGAACACTACTAGACATGTCACCCAGTGAGCATGTTTGGAACGCTCTGCATCGGCGTATATAACACCATGTTCCAGTTCCTGATAATTTCCAGTAACTTTGCTCAGCAATTGAACAGGAGTGGACCAACATTCCACAGGCGACAATAAACAACAAGACCAACTCTACATAAAGGGGATGTGTTGCACTGCTTGAGGCGAATGGTGGTCACACCAGATACTGACTGGTTTTCTTTTGATCTTTGATTTCAGCTCATGAAAAAAATGGGCGCAACAACAAAAGTGATGCATTTATATTTTTGTTCAGCGAATGTTGACTCCACAATAAATGTGCTCACAGAGATGGATTAAATATTATTTTAGCAAAGTTTGCAAATGAATACAAATCTTTTTGAAACACCTAAGGTAAGAAAACATCAAAGGTGCTTTAATCAAGAAGGATCCGTTTAGAAAAGTAAAACTAGCTGCCTTTAAGTAATTAACTGCTATTTCTCCCTCTCTCAGCTTTTATAAAAATATGCTGTTCTCACTTACAGCACATTTGTTTTGTCTTTTTTAGTTACGTCACAAATCAAATTCATGTCTTTGTTTTATGAACAAAATAGATCAAATGAAACTTATTAATTTCAGAATCTAAATATTGTCAGCAAATTAACAAATTGTTTGTACTGACCCCAAGTGACAGATTAACAATAATAAAATTACAACAACAAGAAAAGCAGTAGTAGTAATGCTACAACCACCACCACTACTACCACTACTACTACTTCTGCTACTACTACTACTACCACTACTCACTACTACTACAACTACTACTACCACTAGCACTACTACTTATACTGCTACCACTAATATCCTGATGCATGCTCAATAATCCAGGTAGATAAATCTAAAAAAGTTAAGTCTGGTCCT